CTTGAGCCACATCCCCAGTCCTCATTGGTTATTTTTGATGGTGTCTTTCTGCTTGGAGTGACCCAGGGCTCTGAACAGGAATGGAGCTTTAGTTTTAATGGTTTGTAGGCACTGCTGATACAGTCTGTACTGTTCCTGGGGGCCACAGTTCTCCTGCGGTTCTCGGCTCTGCACCTTGGGGGCTTTGTGGATTCATCTGGGTGGTGTCCATTCTTCTGCTGAATGCAAGCTCTACCAGGACAGAGTCTTCCATTACTCACCACATTGTCTGTAAGGTCTGCAGTCTAATCCACACTCAATATTTACTGAACCCAAACAAATATCCAAGGACTTCCAATGTGAGGATCTGCTAACTCCTAGAGACGACCTGGACTCTTCTGGAACACAATCTCTGTCTGCTCCCCACCCCACTGGTGTCCTCTCCCTACTTTTACTATCCTCACTAACAGAACAGAGGACAAAAGCCTGAAAGTGGCTATCTTCAATGTGCTATGGCTTTCCACCGTGCTCCCCACCCCACAAAAGCAATCTTGTCTATCTACTTGGAACAGGGTTTTAAAAAGCAGATGTAGAATTGGGATTGTAGCTTAGTGGTAGAGTGCTTGCCTAGTATATGTGAGGCTCTGAGTTCAACCCCCAGCACTGAAAGAAAAAAAAAAGGTGAGAACACAAATTACCTCAACTGATCAACTGTCATAGTCTAGTTAATTCCTCCCTACCAGTACTTATTAGTTTCCTAATGTAAACTCTCCCCACTCCTCATGAGGATTTCTGTTATGGTTTGAATATTTCCTCTTCTTCTTTTTTTTAAATATTTCTTGTTAGTTGTAGATGGACCAATAACTTTATTTTATTTTTATATGGTGCTGAGGATCAAATCCAGGGCCTTCCACATTCGAGGCAAACACTCTACCACTGAGCTACAACACCAGCCCTGAATATTTCTTTAAAATATTTTTTTTTAGTTGTAGATGGACACAATACTTTTACTTATTTATTTTTATGTGGTTCTCGATGAACCCAGCCTAATTCCATTTTAAGATTGGGAGCCTCGGGGGAGCTGGGGTTGTGGCTCAGTGGTAAAACACTTGCTTCACTTGTGTGGGGCACAGGGTTCGACCCTCAGCACCACATAAAAATAAGTAAAGATATTGTATCCATCTACAATT